TGTGCTATTAATTCTAGAAAATAAAAGTCTGGAAGAGAATCATAATATAGTCACAATATGTTACGTGACTAATCAGTAAATAACATTTACACAGTGATATTAATTTAACCAAAAATGAAGATGCTATAATGTAAAATTGTGTTGTAAGTTGTAAAAGAGCTAACTCTCTACCTACATAACAGAAAATCAATTATATTTTTCTAAGTCTAGAAAAATCAACTTGAGTATATTATTTAGTGATACAGAGTTAGATATTGTAAGAAATTATTACACAATCATGAAGAGACTGTTTTTGTGATAAGCAAATGTCAAACATGTGATTGCCTTTTAAGACTTTTCACATTTTTTCCTTCTTTTCACTACTAGTTGCTTATGCTTACAAAAATTTTTAAAAATTTAAAAATGTGGAATTCAAAATTTAAGGCTCTTCATAAGTTTAAAATGTATGTTTCAATTATTTATCCCATATTGGTAAGCTATACATACACTATAAAGTAACAAGATATGTGGTCTATTGAAATAATGTTTAGGTTTAGTTAATTTTCTTTATCTTTTTTTGTTTATTTCCAGGGTGACTCTGGGGGACCTTTGGTTGCAAAAGACCTTAAAGATACCTGGTATCTCATTGGGATTGTGAGCTGGGGAGATAACTGTGGTCAAAGGAATAAACCTGGAGTCTACACAGATGTGATTTATTACCGAAACTGGATTGCATCAAAAACAGGCCTCTAAGTCACCATAAAATCTGCAAAGAGAGCTGTATGCAGGTCATACATGTGTGAGATTCCAAATACTCAGTGTGTGTAGAATAATCGAATGTGATTAAATGTCTAGATTGGGCAATACAAGAAACATGCCATGATTTGATTTAGAATCACTTTAAACCAATAATCCATAGTCAATTTAGAAAGGATTCTTACTTGTAAAGTAATGGGTGAGTTTAGCCTGGCTTGTAAGATCCAGCAGAGGTACTCAACTCTTTAAATCATGAAGTTGAGGTAGAACTGCAATGTAATACAAATTTTTTAAGACGGTTCATGTTTTAGAGTTCCTTTATCAGGGATGTCCCCCAAGTGAGAAACTTTTTGAACTCACAAAGAGTTCAGAAAACCTTTATGTATTTTTTTTGTCATTTCTTCAGACCTCACGAATACTTCTTTTTCATTTTTCCTATTTTTCCAGGTTTTCCAAAGGGGTTTCTACTATATGAACTAAGCTTGCTACTTCTATATTCATTTGAGGAAAACTCATAAAATAAAGTTATGTGTAGAAAACACAAGGTCTTGTGGTAAATCAAGCCAGAAATCATCTAACTTTTTTTTTTTTTTTGGAGAGGTTTTTGCTATAGGGCGCGTGCGCTCGCCAGACAGACAGAGAGAGACAGAGAGACAGAAAACGAGAAATCACCCCCCAGAGGGGATGGTCACGCCGCAATCCCTTCTCCTCCATTCTCCTCTCGGGATCTTGGGCACGCACGCACACGCGCCCGGCGTGAGTTCTAAGCCACCGGGTCTGGGACGTGAACCGCGGTCGACTACATGGGAGTCCAGCGACATAGCCATTACACTAACTGCTGGTTCCCACCATTTTTTGGTTTTGAAACATCTCAGAGTTTTTGGTGATATTTTTAACACACACACAAAGACACACACACACACACACACACACACACACACACACACACTGAGATATCCCTACCCTACAGATATAACCAGAAAAAGAACAGACTAATAAATGGCATTAATAGTGACTAGATAATAAAAAAGGTATTTTTGTTAAAAATTTGGGACAAAGAAATAGCAACTTCGCAAGCAGTCCCAGAACAGGGACACAAAATTTTGACATTTTATAGATGCACTTACACATTTTCACCACCAGGGGATGATACTGTACATTATTATTGTAAGGTTAAATGCCTGAAAAAAAAATTGAGTTTACTAATTCCTTCAAGAATCAAAAAGGATTGTCTTTCTCTGTAGAAAAAAAAAATTTTCCTCCTCTGTAATTCTACAACTAATCCAACCCTTAGATATATAGCAACGACCTATTATAACCATAAAAAGCCTATTTTAATTTTTTATCAATAAATATATATTTTGAGCACTTACCACATAGAACAAACAAAAATGTCTAAAAGACAAAAACTTAATTCCTAAGTAAACATATCATGAAATCATTAGGTGACTCGGGCTCACGTACTCCATAAAGCAACTGAAAAAGGGCTTTGTGGAAGCCATTTCTCTACCTAACAATGCCTGAAAAATACCAGGCTTGCAGGCTGGGGAGTCATTTAATCATGAAGCTCAACTATAAGCCAAACCATTGGAACAATGTACCTATGTGATAATTACCCTCACGTGCTTTTGAGAAGGCATGAAAAATCATCCTAAAATAACATAAAAAAGGGTACTTGAAATTTGTTCATACACATACAAAATGATCCATAATTTGGACTTACAGAATTTCAAAGTTTTAAAGAGACTGCAGAATTTCAAAGTTTAAAAGAGAATGCACAAGTCAAGCACTTTCACATTATGGTTAAGCGCACGACAGCCAGTAAGCATAAATGACTTGATGAAGTTAGAGGTATTCTGCATCCCCAATGTGCCTAGAACTCCCACACCAATTTCACATTCCCTTTTTCTTACAAAGTATCTATCTTTATGATTGCCTATACTTACTAACTTAACACATTTATAAAATTTTCAGTGAGTGCTACTGAAACTGTTTTAAAATAGGGTACACTTGGGACCAACAGCGTAATGGCTATGTCGCTGGACTCCCACGTAGTCGACCACGGTTCAAGTCCCAGACCCAGTGGCTTAAAACTCACGCCGGGCACGTGTGCATGCGTGCCCAAGATCCCGAGAGGAGAATGGAGGAGAAGGGATTGCAGCATGGCCACCTCCATGGGGGGTGATTTCTCACTTTCTGTCTCTCTGTCTCTGTCTGTCTGGTGAGCGCATGTGCCCTATAGCAAAAACCTCTCCAAAAAAAAAAAAAAGGGAATGCTTAGGACTATTAACTGATGATCTAGGCAGCTGGCTGCCAATTCTCTGGAACTTCAAAACTAAATTTTTCTTCATATATATGAATATACATACGCATATAAATTATTCTATATTATGGTGGTAAGATACAATACTAGCTTTTAATGTTATGATTCAATAATTAATCTTAGAGTTGTAAACTTTGTATTTTTCAACTGTTTTATGCAGCATTTCATTTTAAATATATCAATTTTAATCTAATAAAGTTGGTGATTAGAGCATTCTATAAAGAGTTTCTCTGAGTTTGTGTTAGTCTAATAGTATGAAGATTTTAAGCATTGTTAAGAATGTACGTCTCAGGCCAGTCCCATTGCACAGTAATTAGGCCTGGCACAGAAGCAGCTGGATCCCGCATGGCCTACCCGAGTTTAAATCAGCCCCGTTAGCTTCGTGCTGGGCACATGTGGCCCTGACCAGGATCCTGATGGGATGAAGAATTGGAGGAAAAAGGATTTCAACATGACTAGCCAGGCCCAGCTGAAAGATGTTTTCTCTCTCTCTTTCTCTCTCTCATGTGTCTGCGCATGCACCCACTAGCATTTTAAAAATAAAAATTTGGGGAATCAGTAGTTAGTGTAAAGGCTATGCCGCTGAACTTCCATGTAGTCGACCGCGGTTCGCGTCCCGGACCCGGTGGCTTAAAACTCATGCCGGGCACGTGTGCGTGCATGCCCAAGATCCCGAGAGGAGAATGGAGGAGAAGGGATTGTGGCGTGACCATCCCCCCTGGGGGGTGATTTCTCGCTTTCTGTCTCTCTGTCTCTCTCTGTCTGTCTGGCGAGCGCACACACCCTATAGCGAAAACCTCGCCAAAAAAATAAAATAAATAAAATTTTAAAAATTAATTTCTTTTTTTCAATTGTCAGAGAGCATAGAGAAGGAGATAGAGAGCTCTCCCATACCAGCTGCCGCCAAATGGGCATGATCACATTGCAATCCCTTTTCCTTCATAGCTCCTTCCCATCAGGACTTGCGGTTTATGTGCACATGTGTCTGACGTATTCCTTAAGCTGCTGGGTCAGGACTCAAACAGTGGCAGGCCACGTGGAATGCGGCTCCATGTGTGCAGCACTTAACTACTGTGCAGCAGGGCCAGGCTACATTTGTCTTTCTTTTAAATAACTGTTTGGGTCACTCTGAAGCAAGGTTCTTCACTTTGGTGGTGTTAACATTTTGGCCTGTATATTTTTTGGTGTAAGGGCTTGTACTGTCCATCATAGAATATTTAGTAGTGTCCCACTAGATGCCTGTAGCATACCATTTTCCCTAAATTATGATAACTCAAAATATTGCCAGACATTGACAAATGTCCCCTACTGAATAACACTTCCTACTCTTAAAAATCACTATTCTGAAGTCATTTGATCAACTTTTTTTTTTTAGAGGTTTTTGCTATAGGGTGTATGTGCTCACCAGAAAGACAGAGAGAGAGAGACAGAGAGACAGAAAGTGAGAAATCACCCCCCCACACACCAGGAGGGGATGGCTATGCCACAATCCCTTCTCCTCCTTTCTCCTCTCGGGATCTTGGGTATGCATGCCCACGTGCCCGGCATGAGTTTAAGCCACTAGGTCTGGGACTCAAACCACAGTCAACTACATCAGAGTCCAGCAATATAGCCATTATTCCAACTGCTGGTACCCATTTGATCAATTTTAAAAGAATTATTTATTAAATTTTATCATTATTATTATTATTTTAATTTGCTACAGGACACGCACACTCACCAGAGACAGTGAGAAAGAGAGAGAAAGCAAGAACAGCCAGGAAGGCCATCAGTACTGGGACTTGAACCACTGTTGGCTATGTGGGAGTCCAGCACCTTAATCACCCACCACCCCGCTGGCCCATTTTATCATTTTTATAATTGCAAGAGGCACCTCAAAGTTATGACACTGAGTATTCAAAAATTATAGTTTACTGATGAAATCTGACATTCACTATCATGTTCCTAAAAGAGAGAGAATAAATGACTGAGGCTTTATCAGTGCCTATTTCAAATACAGATTGATCTCCCCACAGTGTGCTCAGAGAATTTCTCTCATGCTCTTGCCCAAACGAGAGTTACAGAGTACCCTTAAACTTTAAGTCAAAGGCCCAGCTGTGGTGTGTGCTGCAAGGACAGTTCCACAGACTCAGATCACTTGAGAGGCTGGGTTCAATTCCCAGTACAACCTAAAGGCAGGGCCCACTGGAGTAGCACCTGTAATCCTAGCAACTCTGGAAGGCTGAGGTAGGGGAATCAAGATATGGCAAACCCTGTCTTCAAAATATAATGCAACTTAAATTTTAAAAATAAAACATTACTGAGAAAAAATAGAGTACTATGGAAAATACCTGGTAGAGAGTTTTGATACTTTGATTATAATCTACAGTAAGAAATATATTTTTAAAGAGTTACTTATTAAATTTATTATTATTATTATTTTCACATGAGTTTTGCCAGGAAAAAAAAAAAAACAGAGAGAGAGAGAGAGAGTGAGCAAGCCACCAGGTCCAGGACTCAAACCACAGTCGGCTATGTGAGAATTCCAGTGCTTTAACCACCATGACACGTGCTGACCCCCAAGAAATACATTTTACATCACAGTTCTATTTCTATACAACAAAATATAAAGGTGATATCTGAGCTTGATTGTTACCTAATAAGTTACATAATGAAATTTGGAACAGAAGTTTCA